GGGAGTTACGACTGTCCAGCCCTCCTGTTGGTTCATTCTCCTCCCTACACTCGTGAGTCGGCAAAGATCTTCCTCACGCCAGCTCATGCGATGCCTGGTAAGCTGGTTGGTGGGAGGTTTCTAGAAGAGACCCCCAACTGGACAAAGACCGGAAGGGTCTGGGGACCTGTCGTTAGCTCAGAGCCTGGATGCTGACGCCCGCACCCGCCGCGCCTGGCTCCGTGCTGGCTGAGGCTATGTTGGGCTGTGCGCACAGGGGGGCTGGAGAGCCTCCGAGGGAACACGCTAGACCCCCCAACCCAACTCTGCTGAGAGGGGCAGCTGGTTACTGCCGGGGCCCCAAGGACAGGGCTTGTGAGCTTGTCGTTAAAGAAAACACAGCAGGAAACGGGTGGGGGGGCAGGGAGGGACGCGAGGCCGTGCCCGCCATCCTGTGTGCTTCTCGGCAACTCCCGCGCCTGCTCGAGGCTGTGCGTTCCCAAGCTGGGCAGCGTCAGTGCCGGAGCTTGCGGTTTGCAGAAGGGACCCCGTGCAGACGGGAGCAGCCGCCAGCAGGCTGCCCAGCTAGACCCCTGGGCCGCCCCAGCAGGTGAGCCAGGCCCAACCCTCCTCCTCTTCCCCTGCTCCCCTGTCCCGGCGTCCCCACAGAACCCTCAGCAGCTCTTCTCTGGAAACAACAACACTTATTCTCTCTCCAGAATGCCAGTGTGAAAACACAGCCTACCTGTTACGGGGTGAAGGTTGTGTCCTCCAAATTCGCTGTTGGAGCCCTGCCCCGGGGGGTCGGTATCTGGAGGTGGGGCCTGTGGGAGGTGACTGGCGTTGGATGAGGTCATGAGGGTGGTGCCCCCACGATGGGATTAGTGCCCTTGTGAGAAGAGACACCAGAGAGCTCTGTCTCTCGCTCCCACCCTGCCCAGTGGGTGCATAGCGAGAAGATGCTCGTCTGCAAACCTGGCAGAGAACGCTCACCGGGAAGCTAAATCAGCTGGCACCGCAAGCTCAGACTTCCGGCCTCCAAATTATGAGAAGTGAGTTCTGCTGTGTAGGCCGCCCGGTCTGCGGGGCTCCGTCAGAGCAGCTGAGCTAAGACACCAAAAGGAGAGCTCGCTCCAGCAAGGGTCTGGCTGCCGCCATTTGCGTTTGGCAGACTCCAAGGCAGGCGAGGGCGTGGGGGGCTCCGTGCTGCAGGGAGGGGAGGCCCAGATGCACCCTGGCTGGAGGTGGCACCAGAAGCCGGATGTCCTGTGAGATCGGTTAGGGGCTTGTATTTGAATTTTCCCAGCTGGTCCTAAGTTGGAAAAGGACCTCAGATTAGGGGAGCTGGCGGGACTGCTCAAGTCCTGGCCGTTTGGGGCCAGCTGCTGCAGGGGTTGGGGCCTGGCTTTGGGCTGGCTGCTGCAGGCTGTGGGGCAGAGCTCTGCTTTAACTTATGACCTGGTCCTTATCCACTGGGCTCCCGTTTGCTCCTCTTGGGAGAACCCCAGGAACTCACACCCACGTGCTCTGCAGCGGGGGGCTGGGGAGCCTCTCTGAAAATGTCCCTCTGTGCTCCTGTAACACCGGGGTCTTTCATGGGGGCTCCCCGAAGGCAATCGAGGCTCTAAGAAACCATTGCTCTGGGACTGTCAGGTCAGGCAGGAGGGGAAGCAGCATGTTTTCAGGCCAGGGGGGATAGGGCACCCTCCACGCCCACCTTTGTGAACGCCGTGGCCCACGTCCCGGGAGACGCCATGACAGCTCAGGTGTCTGGGTGCTGAGGGGTTCAGAGGTGCTTCAGGAGTTGATAGCTACACAGTTGAACGTTTATTAGTAAAACATTTCAAAAACTCATTTAAAACGGAAATAAAAAATAACACTCGACTGTGTCACACATACCCATCCTGAGCACACAGGGAAGGCGGGCAGCTCTGGCCACAGACAAGCCGCAGCAACTGCAGCCGCGGGCGGCCGGGGAGGCCACACGGCAGTCTCCCCAAGCCAGTCTGGGGTTGGGGAACTGGAGCGGTCCCCGGTGGTGGTGGCCAAGGTCTGTTCTCAGGGCCAGTCCTAACTTGTCATCCCACACCTGGGGTTTCTAGAGTGGGAAAGTGTGCCTTCTTGTGACAACCAGCAACTCCTACCCACGAATCAAGCCCTGCCCGGGAGGAAAGGATTCAACCCAGCAACAGGAGGGTGGATGGGGGGGTTCACTTCTTGCTTGGCTGAGGTGGGGAGAGGGCCGGGGGCTCAAGGTGATGGTTTGGGGAAATGAATGTGTTGGACTTAGATGGCTTCCGCTGCTTCTGGTTTTTAATCAACAAGGGTGACAAGAGTCAACTAATTCAGCCGGGATGGCTGCATGGACCCCCACCTGAGGCTGCAGCCGCTCACAGATTTGGACGTGTTTGTTTAATCAGTGCCCCGTGTTCAGTCCGAGCTGTGCTTCCATCAGACACGGAATCAACAACAACACAATAAATGGATGAGTTTCCAGCAGATGGAGAAATTGCTCTAGCGTTTCCTAGTGGGCAACACTATGGTTTCAACTGAGATCACTCTCTCTCTTAGTATTAGGGACCAGCTCGTGTCTCTACCCTCAAACTTTCAAAGCACAGCTCAGACTCATTTTCTCTGATGGATTTGGGACTTCGGTACATTTCCCTGCTAGTCCCTTCTTAACTATCAACACTGCTGCCGTGCCGGGTCTTCACCCGACGTTCCCCGGGCTCTCAGGGACTGTATCCATCTTGGTGGGGCTGGACGAATTCCTTGAAACCTCCCTGGAGCCTTGCACCCTCTCTGGGGTGAGACGAGGAGGATGAGCGAGGAAAGAGCAGTCCGAGTGGTAAAATAATGTTTTATTCCACGGGCGAACAAACACTACCATGCCACGTCCCCACTTCCCTCTGACCAGATCTCGTGGCCTGAGCTGGCTTCCCCCCCGCAGACCTTGCATTGGTCGAGCCCACTGACGCAGCAAGCGCACGGTCGTGCAGCGTTCAGATCGTCCTGTCCGCCAGCACGCATCACCTTTGACCCATCCCACCACAGGTGCCTTCCGAGCAACCTGACCGCAACTGGCCTTCGAAGCTCCTGTGGATGAAACCAAAACCCCATACGCCAAAAAGCGACACAGACGCATGTCTTCTGGGGGCGGGATGTCAAGGGCACCCCCAGCAGGACCGGAAGCTGGGGAAGTCAGCACTGACATTCAGGTTGGCAACAGGCTCAAAAGGAAATGACGGCAATTGATATATTTCGAACTAGCACGTCTAGAGTCCGGGTTGGCCAGTGTCAGCATGCAAGCGCGGCGCGGCGCGTGCCGGGCGGCGGGGCGACTGCACAGAGCCTGACATACATTCCTTTCTCTATGTACAAGGGCGCGAAATTTACACCGGGGACGCCCGCTGCACGCGTGGCCAGAGTGCGTCTTGCAAGGCTAACGTAGCACATCGACCTACCGCTGGCAGCGGGAGGGTGGCAGCGCCACCCGAGACAGGAGAGGGTGCCGGCACATTCCCACATTGACCTTCGGGACCCCAGAGACCCGCGCACACACGACGGGCCTGGGGTGGGGTCAGCGCTTTGTCTTATGTTTTGTAGCCAAATGCCATACGAAAAGACTCGGTACTTCATCAGGACAGGATGGTTGTCAGGACGCGTGTAAACAGTGCGGATCTACAGCAAGTCCTAGCGCGGCGCCGCGGGAGAGGGTCATTCTCGGATCTTCTCAGCGTGACCACCATCGGAGGTCCCCCCGGCGTTCGGGATGTCTCTGCAAGTGTGATGACAACCGCCAGGGAGGAGCGGTCACTTCCGGCCTGTTTCTTCATCCAAACACGCGTAGTCTGCACGTCGACTGAAGAAAGGGCAGCGAAAAACAAAACAAAGCAAAGCACAGCAAAACAACCCCATGACCGGAGACGAGGAAGCGTCGGGTTAAAACCATAGAAAAATACGAATTAATCCTATAAGGTTAACCACTAGCGCAGCTACAGTGAAACTGTACAGAAAAGGGTCTGTTTTCTCGGTGGAGCCCCTCACAACGCCGAGCCTCCTACGGACGGAGAGGAGCACACGATCTACGGACACGGACGCTGAACGATTGTGCTGTGACTGTCGTTCCCGCTGTCTCCACGGCACTGCTGCACACACGGACGTGACGCTGCGGACGTGAACACAGGACCCTGACGCGGAGGGTGCGGCCAATGCGACTGCCCACAGCGCGGATCTGGGGGCCGCTTTCTTGTGGCTCAGCGCGGCCCGAGCCCTCTCCGCCCGCGTCCGCGGCTGTGTGCCTTGGGGAGGGCCGTGGGAGGTGCGGTGGCTCCGGGGCAGGAGGAGGCTGCTGCGGCCGCCGTGGGGTCGTTCCAGGTGCCGTGGAGAGTGACGGCCACCGGGAAGGAGCTCGTTTCCCGAGCGAAGCTGCCTTCAGTACCGAGACACACATGCTGTGGGACGTGGCCGCCCGCCCGCGCGTCTGCGGGAAGGTGGCGGGAAAATGCCGCGGTCACTCCAGTTGCAGACAGAGCCACGTCTGTGCGGGCAGCGGCCGGCCTAGTCGTCCTCCTCGTCCTCTTTCGTCGAGACTGTGGGAAGTTTGTCTTGAATCCTGAAGCACTCGGCGAAGAAGCCGATGATGGAGCGGTACAGGTGCTGCTTGAGCGCGGCGCTGTGGAAGTAATGGCTTTCGTCCGGGTAGATCTGCAGGGAAGGCCGGAGAAGTTACACACATGGCCGGCACGGGATGTGCCCGCGGGGCCTGGGGCATGTAGGCGGAGTGGGTTTCCTGGGCTTTCCAGCCCGGATGCGCCTTTCCCTCCCGGGATCCCTGCCGGCCATCCTGGCTAGAGGGCCCGGGAAAGCCCCCAGCGCCGCACCCCTGCCCCCTGGCTGGCCCTCGCCACGTGTGGCGGGCCCTCTGAGAACCAACTGAAAAATCAGAAAGCATTCAACACTCTACAGTCCAGCTCCGCTCGTGGGGTCTGCAACTCAGACACGCGTTGGGGCCCACCGAGGCACAGCCCGGGCCTGGGGTGTCAGGGTGCTAGTGGGAGGGAAAGATCCTGCACTATCTCGTTAGTCCCCAGGCAGGACCCCTGCAGGGCCCGACCCCCGCTTCACATCCTGGCCCGGCTGACGCTGGACGGGTCCCTGCCCTGGGCCTGGGTCTCCAGGTATGTCCGGTGGGACAACAGCTGCAGCAGAATCTTGCTCACGTCTCCTGAGGAATCCGCGACGTGACACCACCAAGGGCTCAGGGCAAGGCCGGGACCAGGGCCTGTTGCTCCTACCCGATGCGGGAGGCGGCTGGCTATTCCACGCCCAGTGCGGGGACTCTGCCTGTCCCTAGGGTGCTGTGACGCGGTCCTGCACGTGCGGGGTTCACGGCCAAGTCTGACTCAGGCGCCCGGGTCTTTCCATGATACCACGCTGTCCCCGGCATTTCGAACCCTGACTTCCTCTTACGTCTTTGGAGGGTGGCATTCACCTTTACTTTAAAGTTTACTAATGACGTCCCCCGGCTATTAAATGTCATTACATGTCCAGTAGCACATAAGGGCACAGAGCAGGAATCTAGTCTCCTCCTGCCTTAGGTCCCTGTCCCCAGGTCTGTGTGTGTGACACAATGTGTGTGCGTCTGAGTGAGTGTGAGTATGTCAGTGTGTGTGTGTTCGTGCTGGGCATGGCCACGGATTCCTGGCGTGTCTGTTAGGACGTCCGCTGTCCCACACACACAGTGGCACTGAGCGGGTCCCTTGCTGACACCAGAGGAGCCGGGCTGATGCGGGCTGTGCAGCGCCCGGCAGACGACACCCAGCCGCATGTCTTGGGCGATCGGCACACAGAGCTCTGCCTTTGGTCTCCCGCGGCTGCGTCGTGCGTGGGAAATGACTTAACGGCACCAGGACAAGGCCAGGCTCACTGTGAGGGAGTCAGGACACTTTCCAGAAGGAAATTCAGCCGTGATACAGCCACGTCCTCCTGTGCTTTAGTCAGCACTCGGGTCGCACTCCCTCCAGACGCCCTCCCCGACTGGCCTGGCCGCACGCGGCCCCGCACTGGCTGGCAGGGCCGGGGACGCGCAGGTAGCGGCCAGCCCAGGGCGGGAGCTCTCAGAAGGAGACGGGGTGCCTGCCATTTGTCATCGGGGACCCATTTATCTCTGGACCTGAGAAGACCATCGGGCCACACCTGTTTCACCAAAGGAACAGAGGGCAGGAAGGAAACTGCAGAAGTTTCCAGAAGCAGCCCTGTGCATTGCTGGGAAGAGCCTAGGCTTGTGCTGCTGGGTTAGCGCGTGACGCCGGTGCGGCCTGGCCGTGGGTTCGGTCCTGGGGAGGGCGCCGCTCTCTCACTGCCGCCCAGACACAGGTGGTGCTGGGGCATCAGGCCACTGCTCAGTCACATGTAGCGTTGTCCAGAGGGACACCGTGCCAGGACCACCACCAGCCGCACTGTTGGGCCGTGTGGGCGCCGGCCTGGTGGGAGTGGGGAGGTGGGAGCAGTTGTTCTAAAGGGGCTTTAACGCAGCCTCGGTCGGCGGCCAGCTGTCCTCAAGTAGAAGAAAGGTCAAGCACGTGCTGACCTGCCGGCCTGCCGCGCCCCGCCACCCCGCAGCACAGGCGCGGCTGCGGCAGTGGCTGTCCCCAACTAACCGGGCTTCTCTAAGCCCAGGCACGAGGCTGCGGGGAGCAGGAGCCGTGCGCATCGTACCTGTAAGCTGTAGTTAGACTTTGCCCGAATTAGCTGTGTGATGAGTTCTGCTGTATGCTGGAAATGGATTTTTTCTGTTAAAAAAAAAGGAAGGTATTTGTCAAAACCCACAACGCCATCGAGGGGGCTGCTTTTACTAGACAGGCAGGGAATCCACGTCCTCTGTCCTTACCGTCGGCGGTGGCGTGAATGATCAGAAACTGCTGCTCCTCCAGCGCAGAGACTCGATGGGCCACCTTGGTCATCTGCACACACAGGCAAGGGGAGAGGGTTAGTGGGCCGCGGGCAGCGCTGGGCGTTCCCGCTGGAAACTGACCGAGAGGGAAGGGGGCCGTTGAGGAGAACCGGGATGCTTTACGCCTGCAACGACGTGCGCAGCAGGTCCCGGAAGCCGGCCCTCCCTGCCTCGGCTCGTTTTAGGGAGAGGAGGGGTGGAAGGGAAGAAGGGAGAAAAGGAGAGAGTTTTCTCCAACTCCGGGTAGCCTCAGAAGCCCTTGCTCCTCTGGAGCCCTGGGCAGGCTGGGAGCCTTTGCCATGCGGAGTTTCCACCTTGAAGACACAGTCCTGCCCCCCACCCCACGCACAGCTCGGGGACTGCGTCTGACGGCCACGGGCAGCCATCTGATGGCTCTGACTCAGGAGCTAGCATCAGAGGCATTTTCTGTTCCGCAGTCAATGGCTTCTTCTCCCAAAGTGGCACCAGCCGTGGGTGCAGGGAGAGCCAGGGCTTGCCCACCTGGAGTGTCCCATGGACGCATCCCTAGTCCTGTGTGGGGACTCGGACCAAGAGGCCCCACCTACCTCGCTCCATGGTCTGCTCGGGGGACGGATTCAGGGCTTTCTCCGAGTGGGCTCTGATGGGGGAGGGGAGGGCCTGGGTCCGGGAGGGGGTGTGGACAGAGTCGGCGGGGGATGGAGGGGTGGGGAGAGGAGTTGGAGCAGGGGCTGATGTCACCGAATCCCCCATTTTGCCACGTGGCGGTTGTGCCCAACATACCTCATATGCTCTGTTGTCCAGTCCGTGGAGGCCCAGGTACCTCTCGGAGAAGGCAGATGCTGGACAGAAGCAGAGGGAGGGGGGTCACCTTCTGGCCTCGGGCCTGTGGGTGCAGCGCCCAGACCTCTGGGACGCAGCCGGGACGTGCATGCTGAATGTTGGTTTTGTGTAAACACCGTCTGAATCTCTTGGGTCTTTACACCGGTAATCAGACAGCCCGAGGGCAACGTTAAAACGGGTTAGTGTTGGTGGTTGGATTTTTATCGGTACAGCAAAACCTTCGTTAAGCAAAACCTAATTAACGTGATTCCTACATAACCAGGATAACCCCCTACTTCATGTCAGCATTGAGGAACGGGAACAAGCACTGAAAGAGCAAATTTCCTTCAGGATTTGCTCAGTTTTTAAGAAGTCCAGGCGTGTCCCTGTTCCGTCCCAGACTCTGGCCCCAGGCCCCACTAGAGGACAGAGGAAGGCAGGATGATCCCGCGGCTGCCCACCGGAACGTCAGGGACGAGCGATCCCTACACAAGGGCACGGGGCTCCAGGGAGAGGCCAGGTGGCCCATCAGGACACGGTGTGGCAGTTATGTGTCTGAATCAGGCGAATTTGAAACAGCGTGATTAGAACATTAAGAAGGTCTCACTGAATTTGAAAAGTGCCACACGTACCCTGATGGGAAAATGACTCTTAAATTATTCCAAGTTGGAACGGGAGAGACCCTGTATCATTGTAGGTGGAGTCTGCACTGGAAAGAGCCCGTCTCTGTGAGACCTTTGGCTGCGAGAGGGTGGCTGGCCCCACGGTGGCCCCTGCGTTGCCGGGGGCAGGTGCTGGGATGTGGCCCCACGGGCTGTGGTGGGGGGTGCGGCAGGGCAGGTGGTCCTCTGTCCTCCGTCCTCAGAGCCGAGGGGAGCAGTGGGCTTCCGGAAGGCTCCAGCAGGCCAGTGGCTAGAGACCCCACCTCACTCGTCAGCACAGCTTAGTGGCCTTCACCGAGCGCAGTTCTCACGGCCACATTCAAGACATCCCTGCGCTTTCTAAAAAGTGGGTTCAGGTCACAGAGCCACTCCTGTTCAGAGACGGGCTGGGTGACCAGGAGGAGGGGAACACAGGGGGCCTGGAGCCCTAAACACCAGCAGTGAAGCCCGTCTGTGCCTGGGCGGAGTCTCGCTCCCAACCTGGGAGCCTCATCTCCGCAGCGTCCCCACAGCGGGTCACCCTGACACCAGCCCCGTCTCTGGCTGCCGCCGTGGAAAGCCGGCGGTCCCAGGACAGGTGCTGGCCGGGGCTGTCTGCACGGCCTGGAGGACGGCGGCAGAGCAGAGCTGCTAGATCTCTGGCGACCTCCCCCAGTAGCAGTTCTCTGCCATCCAGCCTCGCTCAACGCCGCCGCCACATGAGACGCAGGCCCCTGCCTGGACTCCGGGAGCCAGCAGGAATGGCGGCCGCGGCGGAGGGACACCTCCTTCCCCGTGCCGGGCTCGCCCGCCGCCGCCCCCGCCAGCTGCCCTGCCAGCTCTGTCTGACTTCTGGTCCTGGGTGTCGGAGGCGGTTTCTGGCATCAGGGCTTTGACCACCTTCATTCGAAACACAGGCCTGAGACCCTCCCCTGCCCTCGCCCAGGTTCCCCCGTGAGGCGCCACCGGCCACACAACCAGGGGTGGCTCGTTACGGCCGGGGCGCCTGGGCGAGGGCTGACTGCCGAGGGGAGGGCGTGGGCCGCGCGGGGCCTTTACCGTAGAGTTTGAAGTCGGTTATCGGAGACAGGGCGGCGCCGCAGGTGAAGGTCGGCCTCTGGTTCTCGCCCTTCGCCGGGAGGATGGAGGTGCTCAGGTACCCGCCGTAGTCCTGCGACAGGGACAGGTGGGAGCGCCGTCAGCCGCTCGGCACACGGAGCCTCGGACGCAGCAGCGCCAGCCACGCCGCACCCGTTCCCACGGGTTTCTTGTCTTTAAATTTTAACTTTACAGACTGTGTAAGGGGGTAACAAGAGCTGACAAGCAAAGGCCTTTCCGACTCAATACTGTGTGACCTCCCCGCCCCGGGCCTCCGTGTCAGGGGCGTGAAGATGACACGTGATGGTGGCTTGGAGATGCAGCCGTGGACTGTGGCGTGCCGTGGGCAGGGCTGGACCCTTCTAACTCGCGGTCCTCTGCGGCGGTTCCTGCCGCCCGCCTTGACTACAGGCGGGGCCCATCCACTTCACGCCGCCCTGAGGGCGGCCCGGGGGGACCGGGGCCACAGTCTCGAGCCCTGGTCTGCCGGGTGGTGCAGCGCCAGCCCGCGTGAGGCAGGCGTCCCCGTGCGCCCTGCACCTGGGGTCAGTCCTTAAATTCCTAGGCTGCCTGCCCTGGGGGTGGCATGAGGGCGCCCGACATCGGTGCGGCCTCCCCGAGAGCAGAGCTGCACACTGTCACCCGCTCGGTGCCCTCAGAGTGGGTTGGCTCAGGTGTGCTGCAGTCTCCCAGGGAGAGGACCCAAAGGGAACCAGGACGCAGCACAGGGACTTCATCCGGTGTGCACGTGTGACACTGTGTGTGCATGAGTGTGTGTCACTGTAACACTGTGTGTACGTGTGTGAGCGTGTGTGTGTGCGTGACTGTGTAACACTGTGTATGTGTGTGAGCATGTGTGTGACACTGTACGTGCGTGTCACCGTGTGACAGTGTGTGTACGTGTGTGAGCGTGTGTGTCTGTGTGTGTGGCTGTGTAACACTGTGTGTGTGAGCATGTGGGTGTGTGTGTGACACTGTACATGCGTGTCACCGTGTGACACTGTGTGTGTACGTGTGAGCGTGTGTGACACTGTGTGTACATGAGAGTGAGCGTGTGTGTGTTTTGGGGACACTGCTGCCTCCTGACGAGACTGTGCAGCCATGTCACGCCAGACTTCGTTAGGACTAAGCACTGGTGATCTGTGTGGTTAGGATGTCATATCATAACACACTGTAATAGTATTCCTTTAATGGAGCAGAATATCTCGTCTTACTAACAACAAGAGTATTTTCATTTCTGACAAACAGCATTTACTGCTAATGGAATCCACAAGTCCTTGCGAGTCATTCTGCGTTTTGTTTAAAATACAATTTTCCTGCAGGGCTTGTGGCCTACTTGGGCACAAAGGAAAGGCCAGGAACCTCTGGCTGATGTTCCCCCTCCAGCCAGGACCTGCAGAATGCAGCCACAGGCGACCCTCACTCCCCGGGACACCCGCGGGTGCAGCGGGCGCTGTCCCGTGGGGCTGCTGTAGTGTGTGACAGAGGCTGCGCCAGACTCGCTTGGGTGGACGCGAGGGGGAGACAGAGGGGAGAGGCCACAGGATGCTGCTCCACTAAGGGGGTGGACGGCTCAATTCTTCTGAGGAGAAAAGCAGTTACGGCGCCCACAAAACCTCTGCCTAAGGCCTGTTCAAACAAAACAAAACAAAACAAAACGACTCATGATGCTGTTTGGGAGAGGCCCGAGGATCCACTCAGGCAGAATGGCGGGGTTCGGATGACAGCAGGGAGCCCAGACACACTTCCTGCGGGTGTCGGTGGTGAAGGTGTGCGAGCTGCGTGTGCACGGTGCCCGGGTCCCTTTCTGTACGGCGCGGTGGCTGCCTACGCCGCTAAGCCCCCACTGTCGAGCACGCCTTTGAACTACCGGATGATTCCCGCGTCCTCTGCAGCCGACCATTAAAGCCCCCGAGTAGGCGGGGCTGTGCTGAAGGCACAGGAAGGGAGCCGTGCTCCTAGGAGGGGCATCGCTGCACACTTGGGGCAGAGTGGACAGAGACTGACCACAGCCCAGGGTCCCCCACCTCTGAGCCACCAGCCTGCTGGGAAGTAACTTCCCTCAGGGTGGGGATGTGTGAAGGGTGTTGACACCCAAAGTTACACCTGTCCATGGTCCATCTGGCTCCAGGCTCCTGGAACGTGCCCTCTAGGACTCTGTGCTTGAACCAAGGAGAGAAGCCACCAGCCCCTCCCTGACCCCCTCACTCCCAGCAGGTGTGGGGCAGGGTGTGGGAGGCTCCCACGCCCATTCTGGGATCCGCCCCTGCGGCAGTGCAGGTCTGCAGGGCACGCTGCTCCCATCGAGCGCTGCGCTCTGAGGCGTCGGAGGTGGCGAGATCGAGATGATGACCTGTCCACGCCTTCACCTGGGGGCTGAGGCGTCCTCTGGAGAGCCCGTGCCCCTCTCTCTGTGCTCTTGGCTTCCTGAGACCCCACTGTCTCAGGAGAACGGGGGCTGGCGTACCAGGGCAGTAGCCGGTGCCCCCAGGGACAGAACTCCCCACCGTGGGCCCCCACGACAGCCCGGCCACGCCAGACCACTGGACGGAAGCCTCTCTGTTCTGACAGTTCAGTGGGGACACCCCCGCACCCTTCCCTCCACCTAAGTAAACGTGGTTATTCACGTAGTCACTGCACACGTAATATCCGGAAACAGACTCCCGCTCCCCGTCCTTCCTGGGCCGCCACACCCAGAACTGCAGCAGGCTTGCGGGAGAAAAGTGCTAATAATTAGGAACCTCATCGAGCTCTCCAACAAGGACCTGGCTTCTTTTCTCTTTCCTTCTAGATAACGTAAAAGAAACTTTGATAACTGAGCTGATCGAATGAAAGCTCCCATTGCTGGAATCACTAAGCAACCAGCCTCTTGCTCTTAAAAAAAATACTCAGGGCACACCACCAGACCAGGACGTTCCCATAAATCAGGATCGGGCCTGGTGACGATGCGGTCTCATGCTTTCGAACAAAGGGGTGTTTGGAAAAAGGCAGCACAGACTCACCTTCCCGAACACGGCCACGCGAGTTTTGTCGATGTACTGCTCCTTCAGCAGCGCCCTGCACGGGGGAGAGGAGGGGTTCAGTGCGCGCCGGGTTGTGCCTCGTCTCCCTGCAGCCCAGAGCTATGCTTTCCAGCCATTTGGAGTACGAAAACCCCTTTTCAAATAAAAAACAGTCTTGGAATTCTAATGCAACTGCTCATTGCTTTTATTTAGTACACTGTCGGTCTGTTCATGTGAAACACTCACAGCAGCCTTGCACTAACTCTGCAGGACTTCTAGGAACACAGCGCTTACCTGCCGAGAGCCCTAAGCCCAAAGCAGCAGAGTCCGTCTGCAGACTCAGCCCCTGCCTGGGTCCCCACCCTCCTACAGCTGGCTGTCCTCCGCTTGGAGCCCCGAGACGCCCGAGCACACCAGGCTCTGGGATGGTCCTCCAGAGTCAGCAGGTTCGAGTCCAGCCAGGGGTCTCCCATCCCACCTGCGGTACCCATTGTCCTGGCTCTGGAGGAGGACTCTGTCTTGCCCGTTTGGCCACAGAATCATTCCTTCCCTGGGCTTGCTGCGGCTGCCCTGCCGTGGAAGCCACCAGCTCCGAGCTCTGGGGGGTGTTGCCGGGGCCCTGCCCATCACGGGCCTTGTTTCCCCACAAAGTGGCTGGAGTCCTTCTGGCTTTTGGACCCCAATCAGCCGCAGGAGCCCTGCTGCCTGCTGGCTTTCTAGATAGAAATTATCGTCTGTCTAGATTTTATGTCTAGCCAAACTATAGCACCAAGTGTGGGGATAGAATAAAGATATTTTTAGGCATTTGCTAGTGAAGGGGAAAAAATATAGTTATTTTACTAACCATCATAACTTCTTAATTGAGACACTCTCCCCAAAAGAAGTCCAATTAACAAGAGAAAAACCAGCAGAAGTTTACTGACGTCTGCTGTACCCATCACGCGGGAGGCCTCAGTTCAAAAGTATTTCTTGTAAGGCAAGTGGCTCAGGGGCCCTGCTTAAATAGTATTTCATCAAAGAAATACGGCTAATAAATCTTAGCATAGTGACAAGACAAAGGTGACAGCAGTTTCCATCTTTTAAAAGGTAGGAAAATGTAGGAAGGTGGTAAAATCTGTCCCCAGATCCCTGTGGCGCCTGCTGGCACCTTCTCTGGGCTGACAAGCAAGGCCGTCTCCAGCGGGGAAGGGTCTGTGTCCACCCTCAGGCAGACGGACGCTGAGGCAGAACGTCCCGCATTTCCAGTGTCTTCATCTCAGCCAGCCTCAATATTTTGGGGAGAAATATTTTGGTTCCCTTTAGCAGATGTACGAAGGAATGAATAAATAAAAAGGAGGACATGCGTCTGTTGTTCCCAATCACGTGACCGAGGCTGTGTGTGCACTCACGCGTGCACATACAGCCCAAAAAAGGAAAATGAAGAAAACCCCAAGTTGAGCTGAGAGACAGGCTGTCCAAACGGAGCAGAAGAGGGAGCTCTTTGTACGGCTCAACATACAAACTCAGAATCAATACCTGATCAGTATGTTTGAGCATCTGGGAAAAACACTAATAGGAATATGCCTGGCACAAGGAAACAGTGGGCAAATAGTACGAGTGGGTACACAGAATTGAGTCAAGGAAACACAAAACAACACTTCAAGGAGAAATTAAAAGATGCGGAGGGAAGGAGAGCATCACAGGAGGACACTACCTGGCTCTGCAGGGAACAATATTTAATCGCGATTCTGCACCTCCGACTATTGCTTTAACCAGACATTTGATACACCTGCTACAACGGAAGTCGACAGCTGAGAAATCAGCGAGAAGTGACAACTACACTCAAAAATATGGAGAACACTTGACAAGATAGCTCATGGGGTCGAAGGGGGTGGGAGCGGGATTGGGGGGAAGACGGGGGCAGGGCAAGGGGATCTGTTGTCCTTGTCAAGCATTTGTCATGGTTGGATTGTGTCCCTGCAAAGATGATGCGCTGAAGTCTTAACCTCCGACACCTCGGAATGTGACATACGTGGGAACGATTAGCTCGGGCTGGACGAGGTCACACTGGAGTGCAGGGGCCCCAGTCCAGCATGACCGGTGTCCTTACAAGAGGAGGAGGAGGAGACACAGGGAGAGCGCGGTGTGAACACGGGCCCTGGCGTGATGCATCCATAGCCCAGGAACGCCAACATGGCCGGCAAACGCCCGAGGCGGGGAGAGGCGAGCAGGACCCTCCCCAACAGCTTTCAGAGGGGACATGGCCCCGCCCACACCTTGACTTTGGTGTTCTACTGCCAGAGAACTAATACTTTTGCTTTTTAAAAATATTGTGTAACATTATGGAATAGCCCAGAAGCCTTCAAATAACGTCTGCCAGGCTGGGGACTCGGGGGCGCGTGCACACGCACACACCCCGGGAAACTTGGCCGCAGACGTGGCACGCGTGTCCACGTATGTGGAAACAGCTGACACGTTTCTCTAAGTCCCTGGACTTTCCCCTCGTGACTGCAGTCCCTGGCTGAAGTCCACCTGGGGCCGCAGGCTGGAAGGGTCTGGCACTGTCAGCTCTTTTTAAGATCCATCTACCTGGTCCCACGAAGATTCCACCCACGGCCCGGCCAGACGTCCAGGCCTCATTTGCTGGGGGATCTACGCAGTGGCCCCTGGAGACCATGGAGCGTAGAGTGAGCCAGGTGCGCGGTGAAGGGTCCTGGACTCCGTTCCAAACTGTGCAACTTCTCGTATTTTTATTCCCAGCCCAGCTGCTAAGTCAGCAGGCGGCCTCGGTCTTTGGCACCCTCTTCATCTAGTTACCCGGCGACTCTCACTTTCTGCTCTAAACACCATAAATCTCACTGATGATCCTCATTTGGAAGGTAATCTGGAGTCTTCCAAGGATAGTTGAGTTTTCTAATATCAAATATTTTATTATCTTGCAGCTGTATCTTCACTAATCGAGCAAATCCTGTGGGACGAGTTTTCCTGGTGGACAGGGGAACCCGAAGGCCCCACTCAGGTCCTGGCGCACCTTCCATCATTGGGGACAGCCTGAGGCACAGCGGGAGCCGAACCAGAATGGGCCAGGGCATCCTCTTCCTCATGCACGCCCTGAGCTCAGTTCCAGGCAGGGCTGCAGAGGGCCAGGGGAAGGACTTGGAAAGGTACCACGGCTCCAGCCCTCAGGAGGGGTGCCGTGTGTGGGGAGGCAGGATGACCCGTGAGACAGTGGCGGCCACGATTTCGTGTTATTGGGGGGTGTCCGTTCAGTCCGTCCCCAGACAGCTTCTGCTGAGCAGTGGGGATGCAGCAAGGACAGGGGCACACTCGCCCTGAGCTGGGCTGGGATACGTGAGAAGCGTGGAGGAAGGAGGCCACGGAGAAGACTTGTAGGGGACAACAGGGCCGCGAGTGAGCACAGAGCGTCTGGGGCCACAGGAGCCCACCCGGGGAGCACGGTGTGCGAGTCTGCAGGCTGTGCTGCCCCCACCTCTCCCTCCAGGAGAACCTGCTTCGGGGCTGCAGTTGGCTGGTGCGCCCACCGCAGTGTCCCTGCCGTGCCAAGCTCTCACCAAGCAGGCAGCGGTGGCCTGGCAGGGACCCGAGGGCTGGGCCGAGTCCACCTGACACGGGGGTCCCCAGTGGGCACTCTTGTCTGTGGGCTCCCGTCGGCCTGGTGGAGACACAAGCTCTCTTGCCACCTCTGTCCCCCCGCTGGGGCCAGACCCCCCCGGCAGCCTGCCGGCTCTTGCCCCCACTGCTGTCCCTCCCGCTGGCCACGCAGATACTCCCCCTTTGCACGCCCCATTCCATCTCAGCATCCGCCTCCTGGGGGACCCAAGCTGACGCAGGTGTCCCGGACAATACTGCCACTTCCGGCACCTTCAGAGGGAGGAAGCTCACAGCTGGAAGACTCAGAAAGAAATGGGGGCCAGTGACAGAAACGTGATCCCCACGTCTGTCCTGCTGGCGGGGGGTGGGCACAGCCAGGCGTTGTAAAAATGTCACTGTTGCTGTGACTGCCCTGCCCCCCAGGGTAGAAACCTCCACGTGGCCAACGTCTCCATTTCCAGATCTGCTCGCCCAAGTCTCGCTGGCGCTGCCGCAGAACCGTCTCCTGATGCCCCTCCGGTCACCACCCTCCAGGCGCTAGTGCCGCTGCTGGCCGGCCGCTGCCATCCTGCTGGATGGGTCACTTTGGGCTGACCAGGTCCGCGTCCCCATGCTGGCCGAGCGGTGTGCTCGCTGAGGACACTGGGCAAGCCCTGTGACCTCTCAGGACCTTTGTAGCAAATGGGCTAACGGTCCCACCTCCGGGGGAGTTGGCAGCAGCCCTGGGGCCACGGCCCTGGAGTCCAGCCCGCCTGGCGCTTGCTCGGGGCCTGTTCTTCCTCCTCTCGCTGCCCTTTTCCTTGGTGCTCATGTGTCTGGCTCTTTCCCGCTCCCCTCGGGTCGCTCCTGGCGTGTCCACGATGCCCTGAGCCTCTTGGGCATGGCTTCACGCGCGGCCAGAGGCTCCCCGGCTCTCGGGCTGACGGCTGGGTTGGCCCACAGGAGCCCGGCGGGAGGGAGGCCCGAGCCTGGCACTGGCTCCCGCCCAGCCCAGCCCTGCCGGGGCTCCTGCCCACAGGGCCTCCCACCTCAGGTCGTGATAATCTTTCCTACTTGTGGCTGTCACTGGCCGGAGGACAACACAGAGGCCCCTGTGGGCCCTCGACCCTGCTCGGGCCTTTGTAAACACACACTTTGCTCATCTCTCTTTAAATTACACCGTTCGAGTGTTTTCTGCTAGGACTCTGACTCTCAACCTTGCTGCATCGCCACCAGATTAGGGTTCTGAGAGATAAGGCTGACCTTGTCACCTCTCTGCTTCCAGAAACATCTCCTGTTCTTCTGCTGCCTACAGGATGGCAGGAAACTCTTGGGGTGATGTGGGAAGTGTCTCACCCTGACCCCATCCTTCCTCTGCCCTCACCTGTCCTCCCTGGTCCTACCCCCTCCCTCCTCCCCTGGAGGGAGGACCAGGGAGGGGCAGGGATGAGGGGAGAGGAGGGGGACCAGGGAGGGGCAGGGGTGAGGGGAGAGGAGGGGGACCAGGGAGGGACAGGGGTGAGGGGAGAGGAGGGGGACCAGGGAGGGGCAAGGATGAGGGGAGAGGAGGGGGACCAGGCAGGGACAGGGGTGACGGGAGAGGAGGAGGACCAGGGAGGGGCAGGGGTGAGGGGAGAGGAGGAGGACCAGGGAGGGGCAGGGGTGAGGGGAGAGGAGGGGGACCACTCACTCCTGCCCTCCCCGCCCCACTCCCACTGTGCTTCTCCGTGGAGCCCGCACAGGCTGTGCCGTTGCATCATCCCCAGATGTTCGTTCAGCACGTTTTTCTCTCTGGAATTCGCTCCTCTCATCCTCCACCTGGCAAATCCGAATCATCCTCAAGGCCTGGGCCCAAGGCCGCCTCCTCCCAGAGGCCTGGGAGGTTGCTGGTTCCTGCAGCACGTGCCCGCGTGTGGGCTTACACGGCTGTCCTCTCTTCACGGGGACTTGCTCATCTCGGCTGCTGACGGGAAGGGCGCCCATGGGCTCCGTGACGGAGGGTCCCGTGGAGGCGGAGGGAGAGCCTCGATGGGCCTGGGGGCTGCGGGCGGTTTGCACACGGCTAGCCTCATGACTGCCAACTTCCGGTAACACGGCGCTACGTGGAAACACGGGCCCAGCTCCTGAAGGAGCCCTGGTCAAGCTCTCCGTGGCTGGCAGCACTGGGGCTCCGGCTCCCCGAGCCAGCCCGCAGCTCTGTGGCGGCTGAGGCCTGCCACTGCCCCCGTGCGCCCGCTCCTGCGAGCCCCGATGGCGTAAGAGTTGACACTGTTGACTGTTTTTCCAGAACAGGCTCTGCCTTGTTTCTGAACAGATGGCTGGGCCACTTCCTTATTGTTGGAAAACGGCGTGAGTGTGAAACGGCCTTTTGCCCTCTCGTCCTGTGCTCCAAGGACATGCTGGATGGAGCCAAGTGCCGCAGGTGAGCCTGAGGATGCTGTCACCTCCCACCTGGGCCCCGGTGGCAGGAGGCCCTGAGCCTCCTGGGAGGACACAGACCAGGTGGGGCCAGGGCGGGGCGGGAGAGGCAGGAGAAGGCCACACACGGACGGACGCGGAGGGAGGAGAGCCTCACACGGCTGCGCGGCGTGGCCTGGGGCCACCCTCCTCCTCCTCCTGGGGGTCCTCTGCAGCTGGCCCTGGCTGACCTTGCAGCCACCGGCCCTCCCTCCTTCCACACTTGACCCAAGTGTTCACTTGTCACCCTTGTGTCCTCTGCGCAGGAGGCTGACCCCCACCAGGGGCGGGTGGGCCCCTCTGTATCAGGGGGACCCTGTACTTCTCTTGCCGTGGTGGGTCCTGGGTTCCGGGCTCTGGAACGGGCAGGGGACGGCCAGGGAGGTGGAAGGAGAGGTTTGCTGCTGCTTCGGGGGAGGCTCCTCCCTTCCTTTCCGAAAGTTTCTGGGAGTAGCTCCTTCCCCAACCTGCTGGAGGTGAGCAAACAGCATGGAGCCAGGTGTGATGACAGCCACCCTGCGAGCAAAGGAAGGACAAGGCCATCGTGGCCGGCTGGGCAGAGAGGCGGAGAGAGGCTGAGTCTTTCATGACCGCTGGTCTCTGGGTCAATCAGCGCTGAGGACCGCCATCCCCATGGACTTTCGGAGCCAGCGCAGGTCCCCATTTATAAAGCACACGTGAGATTGTGCGCGGGGCGCTGCCTCCCAGCAGATGCAGCTTTCCTGACTGAGCCCAGAGGCTTCTGCCCCGTGTTTTCCGTGTGTAGCACACAGGCTCTGGACGGCGCGCTGTCTCCCCCACGAGCGCGCAGCCCCCGAAGGAGAAGAGGCGGCCGTTCGTTCATTCGCTCGCTGTTTCGTCCATTTAAAAATCATTCACCGAGTGCACACTGTGTGCCATCAATCTTTTTAAAAATAAGAGAGAAAATGTTTTGAAAAGTCAGTAAAGTAAAATCTTTTAAGCCTGCAAAGCACACTGGCATGACAGGACGGACAGAGGTGCCAAGCTTTTGCAGAGTCCTGTCGTCGCCAGATGCTTCCCAGCTGGGCTCTGCCTTCCACCCCTGCATGTGCCCACGGCCCGGTGTCATGCCTCCCGTCTGTGACAAGGACGAGGACGGCCGTCGACACCAAGCGAGCCTGTTCCCTGCCCCTCTCCTCCTTCCAGGGACCTGAGTCCGTGGCGTTGGTCGAACTGTTCTTGCCACATCTCTCAGGGTGAAGTCGGGTTTGGCTCTGCCGTCCTCCGTGCCCCGAGACTGTGGAAACCGCACTTCTTTCTGCAGACGGGGGCTGGAGACCAGCGGTAGCCAGCACTGGGTCTTGGTGTCTTTTTTATTTCCAGTGCAGTAAAATTCAATAAATAATTCTGAGCATCTGCCTCTCGGTGCTAAGCCGCCTTCTGTTCTCTGTGGCACTTGGCGGGTCTTGCTGACGCGGTGACAGGGACGTGAAGAAATGACGGGATGCGGAGGTCATTTCGGACCCACTGCAGGTGCGTGGGTGCCTCTTCCCAGCGACAAGGGCGGCGCACCTGCATGGACTGTGCCCGCGTCCTTCTCTCGCTGTCCCCCGCTGTGCTCTCTTCCCCTCGTGAGGACTGGCGAGGGTGTGCGTGGACACCGGCCACATCAGGGAGCAGCACGCGCAGCCGGCACGCCCGGCCCGCAGTCGCTGCCTCTGGCCCGTGTCAATCGACTCAACGGTAATCTACCCGAAAGACCGTCCGTGGGAGAAGATTCCTAACGGCTTTCCCCGAACCTCGCCTCGGAGTTGCCCGCGGAGCCTGTTAAGCGCCAGCCAGCTGCCTGCGCGACGTGGGCAGGGACAGAGCACCCGCCCTCCCGCCCGCGGCCCGCGCTCACCGCACGGCCTCCGTCTGGTCCTTCTCCTCCAGGGAGCCCAGCCGCCGCCTCACTTCGTGCAGGAGCTTGGTCCCCTGGAAGCCGCTGCCGCGGCCGTCGCACCGGACCAGCACGGCCTCCTGGGTGCTCACCAGCGCCGTCTCCCAGCTCACCTCGAACCGCTCGGCCACGCTCTGGCTGCCCGGGGCGCCGTCCCTGGGAAGACAGGCCAAGCCTCAGATCGCTGGCACCAGCGCCACGGCGGTGATTCTTTCCTAAGGGACTGTGTCCTTCACCCCGACCCCATGCCCCGATGCTGGTGCCCGGGGCTGGGCGCCAGGGTTTGCCCACCCAGTGGGTGAGGAGAAAAGTGAGGGCTCAGAGAGCCTCGGGCACCCGCCATCCCCAAACACACTGGCGCCTCGAAGCAGCCACCAAAGGGCATTTATTTGGTGAGGGGAACAATAAACCCTCCCAGCTCCTCCTTTGGGAGCTTCCCTCTATCGCAGACTGTGCTGCCCTTCCTGTCCCAGATACCTCGGCCACCCTCAATAGCCACCACACGAGTGACAAGAACGTGTTGACTCTTTAGAGCATCCCTGCTTGGAAGAAATGATCTTCTTTTTGTCTAAGCAGAAACTGCACACCTGTGCCAGGGGCGGCCCCCCTCCCTCCCGTCTCCTGGGCAATCGCAGGCCGGGCACTCTGGGCTGGGTGAGCCGCCTGCCCATGCCGTCCCGCTGTTCCTGCAGGGCCTGGGGGAGCATTTACACCACGGGCATGGGCCATCGCTACAAACAGGGACTGTTTTCAACTTGGGAACTGGTCGTTTAAACATTTACCGGCACACTAATGGATATCCAGGTTTTTAAATGATTTTCCCTTTTGGTGGAAAAGAATGAACAGGGGAGAAAGCCAGGGCTAGGTCCAGCCTGTCTCGCAGGAATTGCAACAAAGAGCAGCGTCCCCTCTGAGAGTGGACCCTCTTCTCCAGGGAGACGACAGCTCCAACCACCCGCCACTGTGGCTTTCTGCCAAGGCCTGAGGGAGGGCAGGGAGGTGTGGGGTGGCAGGGCAGGAGGTATGGGGTGTAGGGCAGAGAGGTGTGGGGTGCAGGGAAGTGTGGGGTGCAGGGCAGAGAAGTATGGGGTGTAGGCGGGAGGTGTGGGGTGCACGTGGGAGGTGTGGGGTGCAGGCGGGAGGTGTGGGGTGCAGGCAGGGAGGTGTGGGTGCCGGCAGGGAGGTGTGGGGTGCAGGCAGAGAGGTGTGGGGTGCTGGCAGGGAGGTGCGAGGTGCAGGCAGGGAGGTGCGGGGTGCAGGCAGGAGGTGTGGGGTGCAGGCGGGAGGTGTGGGGTGCAGGTGGGAGGTGTGGGGTGCAGGCAGGGAGGTGTGGGGTGCAGGTGGGAGGTGTGGAGTGCAGGCGGGAGGTGTGGGTGCAGGCGGGAGGTGTGGGGTGCAGG